GGGGTTGCAAGTGGCGCAGAAGACGTCAGCAAGCCCTTCCAGCTGTGCCAGGGTACAGACCTTTTCTGGGAACATCTTGCGTCTGTCACTGGTCATGTTCAACAGTGATGGGGAGTGCTTCATCCTGTTCCTGGTATGACACTTTGCTCGAGCACCATGAGCCTCTCCAGCTGCTGAGCATGCTGCCCGAGCCCAAAGCCACTGCTTTAGGTGACTGCAGGCCTTCCTCCCTGTGGCACTGTCGTGGTTTAACCCCAGCCAGGCACCAGAACCACCAAGAGCTGCTCGCTCACCCCACTACGAGTGGGATGAGGCTGAAAGTGAGAAAACACATGGGTTGACATAAAGGCAGTTTAATAGAGAAAGCAAAAGCCATCCTGCAAACACAGCAAAACAAGAAATTCATTCACCACTTCCCATGGGCAGGCAGGGATTTAGCCATCTCCAGGACAGCAGAGCTCCATCGCAGGTAAAAGTGACCTGTAAAGACAAACACAATCACTCCAAAAATCCCCCCTTTCTTTCTTCCTCCTCCCGCTTTACATACCAAACACGATCTCATATGGTATGGCATATCCATTGGGTCAGTTGGGATCACCACACAACTGTCCCTGTTGTGTCTTCTCCCAGATTCCCATGCTCCTCCAGCCTCCTCATCAGCATGGCAGTACAAAATACAGAAAAGGCCTGGGCGCTGTGCAAGCAATGTCAGCGATAACAACTGTGTATTATCAACTGTGTGTTCAGCACAAATCCAAGACATAATTCCATACCAACTACAGTGAAGAAAATTAACTCTACCCCAGCAAAACCAGCACAGCTGGCCTTATTCTCCTCTTGATCTCCAGATAGGTAGACGACCAGAGGGACATAGCATGCTTTGTTGTCCTCACCTCACTGGGAACCAATGTCCATCCATTCCTTATGGTTCAACATCTGGCTCTGCAATCAGCCTGGGGGCAGAGGAGCTCCAAAGGCAGTGCTCCATCATGCCCCACCCGGAGGTGGCATTGCAATGGGGATGGCCTAGCTCCCAGTATCCCCCTCATGCTCCGTTTTCTCTCAGTAAGACAAGGCTACAACTTTGCCCAGGCTGAAGAGGGACAGAGTGGGGCAGATCTGCTCTGAAATCCTGATGCTGGCTGGAGGGATTTGTGTTTGGTGCCTTTTGAGGAACTTGGCAAGTGGCACCTGCTTCTGTAGAAAAGCAGGACTTTGGGTGGGCAGTGCAATTAGCTACTTGGGTGTCTGGGACCACAGGCCTGGGGTTTGGGCAAGCCTCCCGACAACCCACCATCCTCCTGGAGAGCCCATCCCAAGCCACAGCTCAGGAGGGGGAGATGTCACCACATGTGTCTCCAAATGATCCCACGTTGTCCCCAGCACCTCCTGCTGACAGATCGCCATGACTCTGATTGCCCCAAGCCCCTTGAAACTGTCCTTGTCCTCTCTTGAATCAGACCAGGACCCTTTCAGATGCAAGGCAGCTCTGGATCTGGGCCCCAGCTGCCCCATCCAGAGTCCCTGGGCCCCACAGTTGCTCACTCAGGCCCAGGTGGCTGGAAACCCTTTCCCTGCTGCCCATGCTCAGGTAGGACAAGCCAAAGTCAATGTGGTCTCATAATGACCAGTCTTCGCGAGCGAAGATTTGGGAAAGGTCATTAACCCTTCGAGCCTGCGCAGTGGATT